TTTTTAAAAGACATGGACTTACTCTGTTACCCAGGCTGCGTATAGTGGCATGATCTTGGCTCACTACAACCTCAGCCCCCCAAGTAGCTGGGACCACTGGCGCACGCCACCATACCCAGCTAATTCTTGTATTTTTGGTAGAGACAGAATTTCACTATGTTGCCCAAGCTGGTCTTGAACTCCTGAGCTCAAGTAGTCTGACTGATTTGCCCTCGCAAAGGGCTGGAATTACAGGCAGGAGACACTGTGCCTGGCCTTTTTTTAAATAAACACAAGTAGCCTTATACTCTATACTGTTCTGCACATGTATTTAGTGGTGTTTGGGGGAGAAAATCCATATCAGTTCATAAAGCACCACATGATTCCTTCTCCATGGTGCCAGGTGTTCTATGGAGTGGATACTTGATAATGCTGTCGAGCCAGTCCCTCCTGATGGGCATCTGGGCAATTTTCTTCTCTTGTGATTATAAACAATGCTCAGGTAATAACCACAGACAAACTCTATTTCACACATGTACAGATATTCCAGCTCTCCTTTATTCTTGAAATAAAAGACCATGTGCTTTCTTTTTTTTATTTTATTTTTTATTTTTTTTGTTTGACCATGTGCTTTCATGTGTTCTCTCTGGTGTGTGTCTTTTTAGAGTGAGCTTGAACATGTATGTGTTTAAGAGATACCAGCTGTGTTGTTTCACTGCCTCAGTGGTTGAATTCGTGCCTTAGCACTGAAGAAATCAAGTGTTGGAGGTTATGTGTTATTTCCAAATGACTTTGAAACAATTAGGTTCCAAAAGATTCTTTTTTTTTCCCTTTTCAGTTTCCCAAACTTTGTAGTGTATGTTGTTTTAAAACAAGATAATGATAAAGGGAAACAGTAAATAAAATATATTAAATTGTATACTAGCCGGGCGCGGTGGCTCACGCCTGTAATCCAAGCACTTTGGGAGGCCAATGTGGGTGGATCACCTGAGGTCAGGAGTTCAAAACCAGCCAGGCCATCATGGTGAAACCCCATCTTAAAAAAAAATAATAATAAATAAATAAATAAATAAATTGTAAACTAAGTGGCCTTTTTTAAAAGTTAGACAGGAACTGGAGAAAGGCCTGGCTTTTCAGAAAGCTGTATAAGCTAGGCACAGTGGCATATACCTGTAGTCCCTACAAAAAAAAGCTCTCTTTAAAAACAAAAAAGGTGTGGGCTGGGTGCAGTGGCTCATGCCTGTAATCCCAGCACTTTGGGAGGCTGAGGTGGGCGGATCCTGAGATCAGGAGATTGAGACCATCCTGGCTAACATGGTGAAATCCTGTCTCTACTAAAAATACAAAAAATTAGCGGGGTGTGGTAGCACGCACCTGTAGTCTCAAGTATGCGGGAGGCTGAGGCCTGAGAATCGCTTCAATCTGGGAGGTGGAGGTTGCAATGAGCTGAGATGGCGCCAGTGTACTCCAGGCTGGGTGACAGAGCAAGACTCCATCTCAGAAAAAAAAAAAAAAAAAAAAGGTGTAGAAAGCAGAAATTTCCAGAAACTGTCCTTGCTTTAGACTTCTCACTGTATCTTAGTGGCTCTTCTCTTCCACCCCTGGGGTCTTTGGATGAGGTGTCTGCTAGGCAGGAAGGTGTCAGCTGCCATCTGGGATGGGATGGGATAGGGGTGAGATCAGCCTTTCCAGCTAGTGAACTTTGGAAATTTTCTTTTTTTTTTTTTCCCCTGAGACAGAGTCTCTCTCTAGTACCCAAACTGGAGTACAGTGGCACGATCTTGGCTCACTGCAACCTCTGTCTCCTGGATTCAAGCAATTCTCCCACCTCAGCATCCCGAGTAGCTGGGATTACAGACATGCACCACCATGCCTGGCTGATTTTTTGTGTTTTTAGTAGAGATGGGGTTTCTCCATGTTGGCCAGGCTGGTCTGGAACTCCTGACCTAAGTTGATCCGCCCTCCTCAGCCTCCCAAAGTGCTGAGATTACAGGCATGAGCCACTGCACCCGGTAGAGATTTCTTTAGCTATTTTGCTTTGCATTCTTATGAAACTCTGAGGGAGGGTGAGTGTATTCAGACGGGGTTTCCCTATTTAGGATTTTTGAGGGGGCAGTCACTGGTTCAGCCTTGCAAAGGAGATTTCATCATTTCTTACTTCCACTGGAATTTCCAAGTTGCTCCCAAATTGGGAGCTTTTGAATTAAATGTGTCACATTGTAGGGCATCTTCTTAGAAGACAAAAGACCTGCCCTGGCCAGACATGGTGGCTCATGCCTCATAATCCCAGCACTTGGGGAGGGTGAGGCAGGCAGATCACTTGAGGCCAGGAGTTAAGACCAGCCTGGGCAATGTGGTAAAACCTCATCCCTACAAAAACTACAATTAGCCAGGTGTGGTGGTGTGTGCCTGTAGTCCCAACTACTCTGGAAACTGAGGTGGGAAGATCACTTGAGCCCAGGAGGTCGAGGCTGCAGTGAGCTGAGATTGCACCACTCCAGCCTGGACAACAGAGTGAGAGCATGTCTCAAAAAAAAAAAAAAAAATCTGTCCTTATGCCTTTTTTCCTTCCAGCAAGCGGCTGGATTACGTGAACCATGCCAGAAGACTGGCTGAAGATGACTGGACAGGGATGGAGAGTGAGGAGGAAGATAAGAAAGATGATGAAGAAATGGACATTGACACTGTCGAGAAGTTACCAAAACGCTATGCTAATCAAGTAAGTGGTCCAGAGATTAGACCCAGCTAATCTCACTCCGTTTTCTATGCAATCAAAGCCCACTGAAATCAACGCTGTCATAAAGAGAGGGGAATGAGGCAGGAAAAAGGAACAGGAACTGCAAAGAACATGCTGATGTACGCAGAGCATATGGGACGTAAGGAGAGGGGCTGACAGTGCTGTGACTGACTAGGAATCACTGGAGTCTGTGGGTAGTGGGGTTTGGGAACCGCTAGCCCATGCTGTTACCAAAGCCTGCCAGCCCACTGCAGAAAGCCCCTGAGCTGTTGACAGAGTAACAGACTCCATATCCTTGTGATTTTTTCAGTTGTCACTGCACAGCTGTTGTGGATTGGGCCTGCCCAGCCTACCACTGGCTCCTGCCACTTCCCTGGGTGGTAGAATCTTTCCCAGGCAGTGTACTATGAGGCCAGTCTTGAAATTTCACACTCAGGTGGTGGCAGGTGGGAAGTACAGCTGCCCTTGAATGAAGTGAGCCTGCCCAGCCACCCCAGCCCAGCCAGCTGGCCAAGGTGAGGTTCAGGCCATGGAACAGCAGATCAGTATAATCAACCTGACTCAGTGCCCTTTTAGATCCAGAGAGGAAACCAACATGGCTGTGGTGGCACAGGGAAAGAGGCGTGGAGAGAGACTGTCCTTGTGCTCCAGGCAGCTCAGGTATTCCAGAAAGCAGGATGTAGGCCCAAGCTGGGGCAGGGCTCTACCCTGCTATCCTATACTTGTGTCTAGAACCCATGTCTTGTCATCTCAGCATTCTCCCCTGCCTTTAGAATATGGTTCTTGCGGCCGAGTATGGTGGCTCATACCAGTAATCCCAGCACGTTGGGAGGCCAAGGTGGGAGAATCGTTGAAGCCAGGAGTTCAAGACTAACCTGCCAACATAATGAGACCCCATCTCTTATTTATTTATTTATTTTTTTGAGTTTCTTTGTTGTTGCCCAGGCTGGAGTGCAGTGGTACGATCTTGGCTCACTGCAACCTCTGCCTGCTGGGCTCAAGAATTCTCTTGCCTCGGTCTCCTGCATAGCTGGAATTACAGATGCCTGTCACCATGCCCAGCTAATTGTTTGTATTTTTAGTAGAGACAGAGTTTCATCATGTTGGCCAGGCTGGTTTTAGACTCCTGACCTCAGGTGATCCACCTACTTTGCCCTCCCAAAGTGCTGGGATTACAGGTGTGAGCCACGGCACCTGGTGAAACCCCATCCCTTAAAAAAAAAAGAATATGGTTCTTGGATGCACTCCCACAGTAGCCCCCTTCTTTACCCAAATAGAGTACAGATAACATCCTCTGTGACAAAGTACAATTCAATTTTGTTCTATAAGCATTACTGAAAGACCTGCTCTGTGTTAAGCTAGGCTATGAAATGGAAAGATAGATGTGGACCAGAAATAGCCCCTGTACTCCTAGAATAGGTGTAGAAAATGATTTGTGCTATAAAAAAGTGTGATTCCTTCCAACCATGGCGGAAGGAGTGGGTGTGAAATCAGAGACGGGTTGATGAAGGAAGAGGCAGTCGTGACGGGTGGGTAGGACATTAATAGACAGACGTGCAGAGAAGGGTTGGTGAAGGAAGAGGCAGTCTTGAAGGGTGGGTAGGACATTATTAATAGACAGATGTGCCGAGAAGGGTTGATGAAGGAAGAGCCAGTCTTGAAGGGTGGGTAGGATGTTAACAGACATGCAGAGAAGGGTTGATGAAGGAAGAGGCAGTCTTGAAGGGTGGGTAGGACATTATTAATAGACGGATGTGCAGAGAAGGGTTGATGAAGGAAGAGGCAGTCTTGACGGGTGGGTAGGACGTTAATAGACAGAAGTGCAGCGCATTCTAGGGTATTCTGGGCAGTGGGAACAACAGGCTGAGCGTGAGGTCTGGAAGCGGGAAAGGAGTATACGGTGTGCTCGGGAGAAGTTTGCAGGCCAGTTAGGGTGGAGCGGCCTAGAGTTGGGGGAAGGAGTATGGCAGAAGAGATGTAAAGGGCCTCAGAAATATGTGCAGGGGCCAGACGTGGTGGCTCACCCCTGTAATCCCACCATTTTGGGAGGCTGAGGCCAGGAGTTTGAGACCAGCCTGGTCAATATGGTGAAACCCCATCTACTAAAAATACAAAAATTAACCAAGTGTGGTGGACACCCGTAAACCCAGCTATTCAGGATGCTGAGGCAGAGAATCACTTGAACCTGGGAGGCAGAGGCTGCAGTGAGCCAAGATTACGCCACTGCATTCCAGCCTAGGGGACAAAACTAGCCTCCATCTCAAAAAACAAACAAACATACAAACATATACATATATATATATATATATATATATTTGCACATACTATATATGGTGTGTATATATATGTATATGCTACATATAGTCTGTGTGTGTATGTGTGTGTGTGTGTGTGTGTGTGTATCTATGTGTGCAAGGAGCCAGGCACATACCATATATATATGTATAGTGTATATATGTATACACACTATATATATAGCATAGTATACATAGATATGTTTTATGTATATATGTGTGTGTATATGTGTGTGTGTGTGTGTGTGTGTGTGTGTGTGTGTGTGTGCAGGGAGGCTGGGCGCAGTGGCTCACACTTGTAATCCCAGCACTTTGGGAGGCCAAGGCAAGAGGATTGCTTGAGGCCAAGAGTTTGAGACCAGCCTGGGCAATATAGGAAGACTCCATCTCTATGAATAATAAAAAACAAATGAAGTGAATAAAAAGGAAATG